CTGCGACAGGCTTCCCAAATCCACCTTCGCTTTTATAGCCGTGGTCTCTCATCTTGATTACACGGAGTGATTTACAATTACTACTCTGAAATATGAATTGCATCTGTAATAATCACATACATGTAATAGAATGTTAATAGTACATTTCCCTTTTTTAGGAAATGACCTGTATGTATCTGTGTGACATCAATAAAAGGATCAAGTGCTGCATTATCTTTGATTACAGTGATGTTATTTATTTATGGTGAAACAGTGGTGGAATATCGCTGTTGCTTTCGTATAAATGACGCGGGCATACCTGCGTGGCCGCGATCTAATCCTGTTTACATAAAGTAAACCTGCTAACCAGCAGGTTTACGCTTACGGCTCTGTTGCTATGACAGCAAGTCCCGGATGGGCTTCGGGGAACCGAACGATCCTGGATCACGCGAAATCGTCAACAATCTCATCCAGCTAACTCACTTAGCGCGGTACGAAGAACAGGCCCCCGGTCAGGATTTGGGCAGGGGGACGGACCATACGGTAGTGCAATTCATCCTGATCGGTGATTGGTCAAAAGTCTAGAGTGAAAGAAGGGGACTTCTGATTGGTCAAAAATGTGCAATGAAGGCGACTTCTGTTTTTCATTCAGTCTGTTGTCTTTTTTCTTTATTAGGTGATGTTTCCAGCTCCTTTATCCCACCTGATGGCTCAGCTGTGGTCTGTGATCTTCAGCGTGATCTCAATGTGTTATTTATTTATTTTTACTGGTTTACAATGACACAAGAGCAACAATTATCAGCATATGTACAATAAAAGCATCAAGATTTTACTCGAACATTGATGAGGATTTTTCTTTTGCTCCTTTGAACCAAAACAGGTTGGAAAATAACCTGAATGCAGCTGACAAATGCGTCCTCCTTTTCCCCAGATTTGAAGGATGGGTCGGGTGTATCCTTCGTGGCCCACCATATCCCAAAATTCATAGCGCAGCCCAGCCAATTCCAGTTTCCAGCAATGGCGGCAGCTACTTAGTTTTAATATTACTCTTATTACTCTTTCTGGGTCACAAAATAAACTATTCAGATATTTTTAGGCGAGAATGTAGCTGTGTAAACTTCAAATATCTGCTCAGCTTATCAAGATATCACATATTTGCAAAAGTGTTCCTACGTTTTCGGAGACGTCTGTTACCCACCAGCTCGATAGTTAGCTGGGGCGAGAACAGCAAACTCCCGGTACATCGTTTTCAACCCCTCTGCGGTCTTTCGCTACTCAGGTTAAACATGATATATAAGTCACTCAGATAGCTTAAAATTTTTATTGTTTGGCTTTTTCAGTGTTTTATTTGTTTGTGAGTAAATCGATTTGGCTGAGATTAAAGTTATAGTTTTCAGACAGCTGAATAAATGTCAAACAGAAAAAATGATTAAACAGAAGTGTGAGATGATTGAAAATTTACGCCAGTGTCCTGTTATATTTTAGATAGGAAGGAGCAGACAGCTGGGTTTATTAAACTCCACTGAGACAGCTGGTGACGCAAAACTGAAGGCTAGACCGTCCAGTTTCACAGCCGATCACTTCAGGCTACCCGGCCTTCGGAGGACCCGGGCCACGTAGGTCGTGAAGTCTGGGTCCTCAGGAGGATGCAGCCTGTCAATTTGGGCACCCCCATTGTTGCACTTTGCTCCCATGTTAGGGTCCACTTGTCAAAGGGAAAAGAGTCGTATCAGTGCAAAGTTGCTATGAGAGATTATCTTTGGCCTGTGACTAAGTATTTGAAGAGGGAATAGTTGATTATGAAAATGATGTGAATCATATACCATGGCTTCCACAGTCACCGGATCTCAACCAGGACTATCTGGGGGAAATTTCACTGATAGGTAATAGTTAGTGTTAGTGTTAGTGAAGCTAACCCTTTGCATAGCTTGCAGGTGCTGCTGTAATTATGTTCACTGTGCTTACTGAATTTTCCTTAATTCCAAGATTACTCTGCCATACATCGTTTACAGTTGACTGTTATGGATGGTTGTTCATCTTCCCTAAATCAATACATTAAAAAAAGGTTACCTGATTTGTGATATTACAAGATTTTGTTACACATAACTTTTTTGAATTCTTTTGTTCAGTCTTTCCCCTTGTATGCAACTTGTATTACAAAAAAAGACTAAAACTATAACTGAAGCTAAGCATTTTCAAAAAAATAAAAACTAAATGAAAATCTCAAGTTGAAACTAAATAAAAACGAATGAAAACCTTGGTGTACATTGATAACTTCTTAACTCTTTATTTTGTCTTCTCATCTGCATAGCCTTTTATAGACATGAAAGTTATATGAAAGTTATCTGTTTGACAGCAAGATAAACACATGCTAACATTCCCCTGTAATTTCTGTCACACCTTCTCAGTAGAACACAAAAAAGACCTTTCAGAACATGTTGGCCTTTTTTTTTCAATGAAGCACTAAACCTGTTTGGAAAGGAGTGCAGTGACTAGATAAGGAAACATATGCATAAAGGTTACCTATTAGACAGTAAGATAGTAAGAACATTTCCCTGTGTCATTTCTGCAATCTGGCCTCTTTGAATTGATAAACTAGGTAGAATACAACACAAACCTGTCAGATCATTTAAATTTTTTTTGAATACGGGTTAATGTGTTTGGAAAGGACTGTAGATAAGAAGATATATGTATAAAAGTAATCTCTTAGAAAGGGAAAGAAATAAATGCAAAAAATTTCCCTGTGTCATTTCTGTCACACCTTCTCTCTGTCCCAGTATCACAGCTGAGCAAAGGCTGAATTGCTTTCTGGCCTGTTTGGATTGATAAACTAGGCGGAAGATCCTGTAGTGTTTGAGCTTTTTTGGATACAGGGGTAAATATGTTTGGAAAAGTGTAAATGACATACAGTAAATGGCTAAAATCAAAATCTTGTTGATTTCTTATATCATTAAGGGTTAATTGAAATAAGGTTAAATGTGCTATATAAAGTTGGGCACTAAGTTTAAAACATTTATAGAATGAATGTCAACTTAAAAAAAAGAATTTCAGTAACAAAGGAACTATATCTCATTTACCAAACATACTATAATTAAATTATAATTAATTTAAACCCTTTTAAACTTTATAAAATGTTTCATAAAGAGTTCACTTGTAGTTTAAAAATGTTTCTCTACAGTCATAATGGGCATGAATGTCATGGTAATTTGAGTCAATTTCTTTGAACTAGAGCAGGGCGATATGACCAAAAATATTTATCACGATATACATTTGAAAATTTGCGATAACGATATAACTGACGATATAATTGACACTAGACAAAATACTTTACAACTCCACAACTTTATTAGTGCAAAAAATCAATGTATTTTCACTTAAACAAGCAGCTGTTTTTTATGTGCATTAA